GTGAGATAATTATAATAATATCTGAAGGTTAACGTCCTAGAATCACGATATGATTATGAGGGATTCCTTGCAGAGGGCTGCGAAAATTTCGACCACCTGGTGTTTTTTAACACGCACCAACATCGCCCAGTACACGGGCCCCTACCATTTCGCCTCCATCGATATGCGCACCGTCACGCACAGGTTTGATCCTTCACCCACATGTTTGATCCTTCACCCACAGGTTCGATCCTCCACCCTTCGGAGAGGATGTGAGAGGGAAAGCAACAAAATACATGTACGCTTATGGTGATTTTCCCTAAAGCAACTTTCGTAACGCAAACATACTCGCATGGCAACTCATGCGTTCGTCCAAGATTACTCAGAAGCGAGAGCCACTTTGTTTTTCTCTCCAGTGCTGGCGGGGCATTGATCCTGCCCTGCTAGCATACGAAATCTTTCTCCGCCTAACGTAGTTTCGCACTGCCTCCAAGATCGAAGCACCACACCTGGCTTTGTATTGCCTCCGTTATCCGACCGCCTTCGACCAAGTTGCGTTGTCGTTTTACGGCGCGATAGTGTGACGCCACAGTGACGTCATCACGACGACAAGGATTTAGGTGTGTCTGACGCCTTCATAACGTCATATGGGGTCGCCACCCGTAATGTTGATTTTTCGCTATACAGTTGTCCCGGATGACGCAGGACATGGCCGACGCGGGAGCCGATGGTCGAATTTCCCTTTCGATGAGGTATTCAAGGCTTTCGCCTCAACAATTGGGTTCGAAAGAAACACTAACGAGGTGTACTGACTTGAACCTTTACTGTCATATGTTACTCATCTGCAAGTGGGAAATGGGCATTCTTACCACAAGAGGAGACTTGCTGGGTAGAAATAGGTGCGAAGGTGAATAGCGGGTCTTAATTAGTAATTACGGTTGTTTCACATCCCATAACCGGATATAATTGTTAGAGGTGCCGTATGTGGAGGGCTCCAGAAATTTCTGCCACCTAGGCATCTTTAACGTGCACATTTATCTACAGGTAAACGGGCCTCTAGCATTAAAGTCCACCAAAAAGTGACCGCCGTGATTCGATCCCTGCAACCAACAGTCAAGCTCCTATTAAAAAGGCAGAGAAGGAGGACGAGGAGGAGAGAGAGGAAGAAAAACTTTATTTTTAGAATGCGGTGGCCTCAGGTGGTGCGCATTCCACGCCTAGGTGTCAGCCCTTGGGCGTACAAATACGTACAAGTGAGGAATTAAGACAGCATAGAAACAGTCGTCTTTAGTGTTTTTTGCTTCTTTCTTGAGCTCGTGTTAGCGCGCCATCTCTTAAACACGGATGCCTGCCAACCATAACCCAGCTCTCTGCCAGTCAAGTATTCAAGTTACATTACCAAACCACCACCGAAGTGGGTGAAAGCAGGTATTTGCAACTTATCTTGGCGTCATTAAATACGGCAGCGTTAGTTTGCCGCTTATAGTCGCATATATAGTGCGTTGATTCTGCGCGAACTGTACCGAGCGATGCTCAAGAACACCCCGTGACTGGAGAAGCAGAAAGAAAAGAAAATAACGATTTAAATCGCTGACTTCATGCTGACGTATACAAACCCATAGGTTTCTGTGCTATATATATGCAACAATATTTTACTTTCGTGTTAATACTACGTGGGGTTTAATGTCCATTTCGTTTTAGCGTACAGCTATCCTCTTTCACCATGTGTATTTTATATGAACGAAAGTAAGCATTCGAACAGTTCTTTCGTAACCAATTTCTCTACACACCGCTTCACTCCATACGTAACACCTGGCGAGCGGCGCACATCTAATACACATATACACACAAAATGTTATGCCATAAGGGCAAGTCTATGCTGCAATAAAAAAGTATACTGTTGCAAGCTCGCTTAATATTATAGTTTAGTTGTTCTCTAACGTCCCGAAACAAGAACCTTCCGTCATAGAAATGATGCATGCGCGAGTCTTTTTTTTTAACCATCTTTAAGGTTATTTAAACAAACACACAAGCCTCTGTGTGCAGATACGATTCCCTCATTTACAGAATTTACAGAATTTACAGAATTAAGCATGCAACCTCTGGCTACACAGCCAACTTAATAATTAACTAAATAACCACAATTGTCAGGGTTTTTAAACGGTGACCTAAACCTTCAGAAGAATGACTCGTTGGGCCGGTTGGTTCGGTACCGTAATAGAATTTAGCACAAAATACATGGACCATGAAATGACCACATGAAACCAGTGCAAACTATAATGGCAGAGTTGCATTGAAAAAAAACATTCGCATGCAAGCAGCGCAAATAGATACGTGGTTAGAATAAAAACGGTATATAACAAACAAGATTGTATTTAGTAGCTGCAGCACTCAAGAAATCTATTTCAGTGGGATGCAGGGTGATAGAGGGCCTCGCTATAAGCATGTCCCGCCGTATCTGCTATGCTTTTAATCTTGAAAGCATTTTATGGGGCTTGACAGCAATTAAGGGTGCGCAGCCGCACAATGTAGTGAGAGGTTTGAAAAAGGTGTTCCCTTCAAAGATGCTTTATTATCTAATAATCTCTTACCCAAACAATGTCCCGTCTGCGCATACACGGGCTTTTAGCGTTTCGTCTCCATCGAAATGATGCCTCCGCGGCCAAAGTTGGGACGTGTGATCGAATCAAGTTTGATTGATTTGTGGGGTTTAACGTCCCAAAACCACCATATGATTATGAGAGAAGCCGTAGTGGAGGGCTCCGAAAATTTCGACCACCTGGTGTTCTTTAACGTGCACCCGAAGATCGAGTCACGTTTCTATTGCTTCCACGATACTGCCACCAAACCGATTTCACACGGCGAGTAACATTTAACACTAAAACAAGAAAGAAATAAAAGAAAAACATTCAATTGCACGGTTGACGCAAAACAGTCAGTGAATGTCACCTGCCGCGTTTTCAATGTAGCATTCGAAGCCTTCGCTGCATAATTAGCAAATTCAAACGATAAGAACATGAACGAGGAAGAAATGCTATGAGAAACAGCCCGTCTATATTGCCGTTTCCGGATGTCGGCCATGCGTCATTTAGAAGCGACAGTTCCGCGCGTCAAAACTGCAGCACGCTCCATGCGAGCGGAGCGTACATGTTTGCGTGGCCGAAAAGGCGCAGGAGATTCCGACATACGGGATTGTCATGTGACCTGGGCAGAATCGTTGCGTATTTCGATACTATAACTTAAATGATGAAGAAAAAAAAATGGGCGAAGCTTGCACCACTTGCTTTAAGCCGCGCAAGGCCAAAACAGTGAAACTGGACGACTCCAAAGACTAACATGGCTTTTATGTTGTCTCTCAGCGAGGTGACCCAGGTATGCCCTGAAGGTTGCTTCTAGGTTGCTGCCATAGACTTTAGTTAGGCGATGCTAGTTTGTTTCGACGTTGATTCTCAGCGTATACGGAGACCCTAACGTTGTGGTCTATAGAACGTACTTGGCTGCTAACCCGCAGGTTGCGGGGTCTAATACCGGCTGCGGCGACTGCATCTTCGATGGAGGCGAAAATGCTGTAGGCTCGTGTGCTCAGATTCGGGTGCACGTTAAAAAACCCCAGGTGGTCGAAATTTCCGAACCTCTTTACTACGGCTTCTCTCATAATGATATGGTAGTTTCGGGACTTTAAATGCCTCATACCAATCAATCGCTACCTGCCAGTACTCTATGCCACTGCCAAAACCCGCGCCGACAGCGACTCGCCGCTGTACCAATGACGTCATACGCCACGTTTCGGCTCATGTTACGTAAACCTATGGCAGAGATAACGAGCAACGCCAGGAACGCGGTCAAACGAAACACTCGACTTTCCTTATCTCGAATACCTTAAAGAACGCGCCTGCGCACAGATACGCTCGCTGTCGTGTGCCAATCCCCCGAGGGTGATAAGATTGCCCTTAATGCGACACGTCTCGCGAGAGGCATCGGCACTGCACGCAGTGTATATCGTAGTGCAATTGTTCTCCCCGTATCTGAGCGATAGCTGAAAGAGTGAGGGATCACGCCTGCTGTGACGTCACAGGTCGCTTTTTCTTTCAGCTAATGGGCAGGGGAAGGAAGTTCGCAGATGCGGCATTGGAGGCGTGCTGTCTTTTTCACTCTCGGCGCAGCGGGTAACAAGGCCATGTTCGTGGTTTTCAGGCTCCAACTGCACTGAAATAGGAACCGAATTTTCTCGTTGTTACACGGGGCTTCCTCTAAAAGGTGCGTCTCATTTGTGTGTGTGCGTGTGCACGGTACGCGCGAGTGTGCTTGGATATGTACCGCGCAGCGAGGAATCTTCAGCATTGGTCCTCTCGTTGAAGAAGATTAGCCTGCACGAAAGTTCTGGAAGTTCTTTCTACGGTGGCAGCTGTTCCACCCAGTATTACGACGCGGTTAACGTTGATCTGTTTCCATCTTGGCTCGTGAGGTCAGGGCGACACCTTTTCAATATTGCCCAATACTTTTCTCCCCCGTGCCTTGCGTGAGTATGCTCGCGAGAAAAGACTCATTTTGTGACTTGTTAAAGCTTTGGGCTCTTGAAAAAGGCACAGGTTTTTTTGTTCTTGCCTTTCGTAGACTCTTCACTTGCCTGTGCTGTCATGGTGTACCTTGTAACATCGTAGTTTTGGTACGTAAGGTCCCCGGAGGCCGAATTCAGAAAATGTTTATTTGATGGCCAGTGAAGTTCGGTAATTTGTCCCTCATCGTGAGTGGCTGAAATATTCTCTTAAAGAAATATTTAGCGTAGGAAGCTTTTAGGAATACGAGCCTTTTTTTTTTTTTTAGTGTGTGTAATTGGCTATGCGATCTCTTGAGTGTGTGTCAGACATTCGTATAGCATTCGTGGCTAGTTAATCGAAAGTTTCCGAGTTCCACACAAAGAAAGAAAAGTAGCTGGTTATTACTTCGTTTTGGCGCTGCAACGGTTCCGTTAGACTGTATCGTAATCAAATACTCTACGCCCCCCTGCTGGTTCCGCGCAGATAAAATGCTGCATATGCTGAAGGGTCGCCGGCTGCCCTGCCTGAAGGTTGTCCTATCTCGCTGCTCGTCGGAGCTGCGTTCTGCGAGACACAAGGTGAGCTGTGCTCGTGCTTTCGTCTTGAGATCTTATTTTTTTTCTTCTTCCTGGTAGTCTGGGTGAATCACGATTGCAGTATCCTGCATGTGTTCGGGTAAGCCAGATTCCCCCAAGTTAATTTACCGCGTGTGCATCTCGGCTCTCTCGCTTTTAAACACAATCACGTAACGAAAGCAATCCCCTCGTTCAAAAATAGTGGGTGTGCAAAAAACACACACACGAAGGAATTCGGGACACTACAAGCGCATTTGTAGTGCCCCGACTTCTTGTGTTCGCGTTTGCACGCCCGTCTCGTTTACAATGATTACTTACGGGCTGGCGCCGCTCTGTCATTCTTATTAGCTTTATGACTTTGTATTGCAAAACTTGACTTTCGTCAAAATAGTGCGTGGCTTGTGAAAACGTTAAAGCAAGAAAATACATTCGCATGGCTCTTGTTCATTACCGCCCTTCTGAGAGTCGCAATGCGTGCCCGCATTAGCAGTCTCGTCAGTATTGTGCATACACTGTTACACTGCTTCTATTGTGCATACACTGTTAGAAGCGCCTAACGTCGTGGCCGTTACGCTTAGCGACTATTCTGTTGCCCTGCAACGACATGGGTTCAATTTCCAGTCACAGCAGCAACATGTCGATGCGGTTGAAATACGGAAACGCCAGCGTACTTACGCGGATTTACCGTACTAGTTAAAGAACAACAGGTTCTAAAAATTGTTTAAGCCCTTTTATATTGTTTGCCTATTTGTATTTATATACGTTCCTCTTATGTAAAACCTTCAGCCCATATGCTTCCACCTACAAGTCGACCTTAAGGCTATAGCGATCTTTCTTTTTTTCTTAAGCCGTTTCCTTCACACCCCTCCGAAAGCTTTGCACAGCTAACGCGGTTTGACGATGGCCCCAGTCAGGATCGGGGACATTGTAAGTGTTCTGAATCGCCGGTTGCCTTCGAGGGGGACATGAAAAGGCGCCAGAACTTAAGACAAAAATACGCAAGGTAACCATGTCATTTAATATTATCGCCTAATTTGTAGCCAAATAAAACCGGAGCGGTACTATGAACAGTCTTTACTATTGATGAATTAAGAACTTTAAATGTAGCAATAGAATAGCCACGGCGCCGAGTGAAAATTTTTGTCACCAAACGGGTCGAAAAGTAGCCGATTTGGCGCAAAGTAGCCACCATTGGCAACACTGTCTGCACCTCACCCGCCCCCCCCCCCCTTTTTTTTTACACTGCATCCGGGATCGGCCCACCAGTGGCCAAGCAATGATGTCACATCATGGCGCCACCACGTGACGTCACGATAAGTGACGTCACGACGACTGCAGACATTTTGGCAACCTGTGACGTTATGGTCATATGGCGAAATCGTCACTTGATTTCGGCAACTTTCGGGTTGACACCGCGGTCAGTATTCGAGTTTGTTGGGGGCTCAAAGGTTTTCTAGTTAAAATTAAATGTCCTATTTGTGCACAGGGAAGTTGCTCGCACTCGTGCTGACGCTATTCCCGCTCGCAGACCATCGCCATTCGGCGCGAAGATGCGTCGCTGTGGGAACGGCGCGCTCCGCTGGCGCCACACCATGTCCGGGCACTCGCCAAGAACGGCGTCAAGGTCTACGTGCAGCCTTCCAACAGGAGGGCCTACCCTATTCAGGTAAGCCCGACTTCGCGCTGACTTCTAATACGTGACAGCGTTTGAGATCGATTAGCGAGCGCTGTATACATTTCTTAGGACTCTGCACTCGGAGTGCCTTTGGACCTTTTTATGTTTGTTCTGACTTGCGAAGTAATTAATGTGCGATGATGTTTATCCTCTTTTTTTTATGCTCTCTTTTAAAGATGCACACGGACTCTTAATTGCACTTCAGTCAGTGAGTCGTGACACCGAATATAGATTTAACGTGTCTATTTAAAAATTGCCGTGTACTTTACAAGTCAGGACTAATCAAAAAGAGTTACAGATTTTCTTTCCTTATTGTAATGGATATATACTATTGCAGAACAGAGGGAGTGATACTCCTCACAAAAAATTCCGAATGACTTGGGTGTGGTTTCGCGAAATAGCACACACATCACGTTGATGTTGCATCAATCTTCCCAAACATTTCGAGGCAATTAATGCCCTGGATACGTATTCAGCTTCTGGCAATCGCTGTACGACCTCTTCGACGAAGAGCAACGGCACTGATATCGGGCGCGATTCCCGCCACCTGCAGGCTTACGTGAACGCCGGCGCCGAGGTGCGCGAGGACATCAGCGACGTGCCGGTCATCATCGGCGTCAAGCAGGTCCCCATCGACCAGCTGCACCCGAACAAGACGTACGTCTTCTTCTCGCACACCATCAAGGCGCAGGAGGCCAACATGCCCATGCTGGACGTCATCCTGGAGCGGAACATCCGGCTCATCGACTACGAGCGCATGTGCGACGAGAACGGCTCGCGCGTGGTCGCCTTCGGAAAGTACGCCGGCAAGGCCGGCATGATCAACATCCTCCACGGGCTCGGCCTCAGGCTGCTCGCGCTCGGCCATCACACGCCTTTCATGGTAGGTGCCTGCTTGTGTCGCTGTCCCCGAATACGACTGCGCCGCATGCTCGTATATGGGAGTACACTGACCTGACTTTCTTTTGCAGCGAAGGATGTTGTGGATCACAACAGCCGATATTGGCGGCCTCGTTGTCGTCGCCGGTGTACGTAACCGCTATCGTGTACAATGAAAAGAAAAAAAATTGACAGATCCCACGTACCGCGGGAATCTTTATGCGGAAGTATGCGTACGGAAGGTGGGGTATACGTCCAGCAGATAAGAGCGAAAGCGAGCTCCTAGTCACATTTGTCGATTTTGACGAACTTTATCTGTAGGCTTTGGCATTAGAGCCAGAACAATGGTTTAGAAGTTGGTTCTGTTGAAAAAAAAAAGGTTTGTTCACCTGGAAAAAAAATTTCTCGGCAAAATACGGTTTTTTAACAATTTCGTGATTTGTGACATTTGAGCGCGCCTATATAAGCAAAAAACGTTGCACTTATTTATTGGTGAGACTGTGCATTCCTCTCAAGGATCAATCGATATTGAATGTTATGAGTATTATTTCTTTGGGGGTGACAGTCAAAACGCCGAAAATAAAAAGGCCCAATTATCCGAATAACGAAATTTGAAACACCGAAAATGAAAGCACAGAAAATAGAAAAAGCCGAAAATAAAACACCGAAGCATGAAAATACCGTCATCACCCGGCCATAGTGAAAGATAATGTATCGTAGCAAGATAAGAGTTCAGATTGCTGTGTCATTTCAGCAGACGTCTATTTATTGTCTGGCTAATTAACTAATTGCTTCCTTGATCTATTTAGAAACAAAGTACCTTTATCAAGAGCCGTGGATTTTTGTCATCTGTGCCTCGTGCCTAAATCATAATTTTGAACTATCAAACTTAAAGTAGCATATGTCATACGTTCGTTATTGCAGGGTTTAAACCAGGGGTGTGTGAATGCTGAATTGTACAATCTAATACTATTCGAATAGTTTTCGTATATTAAGTCAACAATTTTCAAAGCAAGCTTGGACTGATGACATGACAATTTTCAAAACAGCCGAGGAATTCCACAACATTTCAATTAAAACAATATTCAAATGTTAATATTACAATATCTTTTAACCAAAAAAAAAAAAACTGGCACTTAGACTTATATCAAAGATAGTCGATAGCTTTTGCTTCGGCGACACTGGAGTTCTAAGCGAAAACTCCCCATCCGTCAATAGTGCCGTAATTACACGGGCTGCAGTGCATCTTGGTAATTCTTTGATGAAAACAATAAAGTAACCACTTGTTCCCACGTCTCTTTCCTTCGATCATTTTTAGCAGATTATTTCAAGACTATTTGAAAAATATTCGGAGTTTCCTATACCGTATAATATAAAACGCTATTCAGTTCGCTATTCGAAAATTTCGAATGTTCTTGCCGCACCCCTTAGCAAGCTACATCGTTGGGAAGGGTGGAGGTCCCAATGTTGAAATTATAACCTGTTGTAAAAAACACTCAAATTGACCTCTGTTGTAACGGACGTCCGTATCCGAGTCATTACTTCAAAAGTATTGCAGATGTGGTGGTACAACGCCAACGATTATAACATTGCTCTCATTCCCTTGCTCAGCGCAGGTGATGTTCAACATGCCAACGATAATGCGATCTTTTAGTCGAGACTTGATGTGCCATCGAACGAAGACGTTGATATATATGGCATATATATTCCTTTGATGAAGCCCTCGCTGATTGTGTGTTTAACTAGGTTTTATGTGACATATGTGGCATATTTTGAGCTTTAGCTCATCATTTACAGCTTCTGCCTAGTTGTGTTTTCTACTGTCTTTCTTATGAGGTTATGTATCTATAAAGTTAATTTATGTTTAAAAGTTTTACTCTAATATTATGTTTTGTTGCTTTTACGTATTGTACAACCTGTATCAGCTTCTTAGTAACGTGATGTTTAGTCTTTTTATAATGTTATTTATGTGTAGATTGTTGATGTTATCTTTATTCCTACATAATGTTTGTTGCTTTTCATGTTGTATATACTACCTGTATCTTTTCCTGTTTGTTTCCCCCCTACAATAATGCCTAGTTGGGCGCTGTAGGTATATGACTAAATAGATAAATCAATAAATAAACAAATAAATAAATAAATAAAATAAGAAATGTTTCTGTTCTACGTTCGTTTGCACGGGTGGTTCCCGTTTTCGAAACTGCTAACAAAGTTTTTTTCTCGCTGCGCAGCACATCGGTCCGGCGCACAACTACCGCAACAGCGGCATGGCCAAGCAGGCCGTGCGCGATGCCGGCTACGAGATCGCACTCGCAATGATGCCCCGCTCCATCGGGCCGCTCACGTTCGTCTTCACGGGATCCGGAAACGTCTCGCAGGTGCCGTGTTATTCTGTGAAGGCGAAAGCCTTGTATCTCGTGCAAACGTGGTGTATTTAACGTAGAACCGGAGTGGAAAAAAAAAAAGCGAAACGAGAAAGACGACTTAATGTCCAGGGGAGGAAAGCCATACAAAAAAGCGAGCTATAACTTGACTGCAGGCATTTATGACAGTCATATCGAATTGTGAGCCGTCAGCTAATTAGCGATGCATGAGTTATTCTTGAAAACGAAAGCTAACAGACTTGATTTAATTAAACATTTAATAAAGTTCAATTAGTGGAAGGCAATTAGCGAAAATTAGTAAATGTTTGTTAATGAAGGCTAGTTTTAATTTTTAAGGTTTGTGAAAATTACTTAATGAAAACTAAATGGCGAATTATAGCGAACGTTGTACGTATATGTAAAATGCGCCGTGCCAAGGTTGCCACATGCCCCGCCGCGGTGGTCTAGTGGCTAAGGTACTCGGCTGCTGACCCGCAGGTCGCGGGTTCGAATCCCGGCTGCGGCGGCTGTGTGCTCAGATTTGGGTGCACGTTACAGGACCCCAGGTGGTCGAAATTTCCGGAGCCCTCCACTACGGCGTCTCTCATAATCATATGGAGCTTTTGGGATGTTAAACCCCACATATCAACCAAATCACTCAAGGTTGCCACATCCGATGAGGGGCCTTGTGTATTTTTCTACGTTGTGCGCGCGAGTTGACTTGATTGCTCGCAGTGCCGCTGTATACTTCTTTAGGGGCTCTCAAAAAAACCGAAAATAGGGGCAAGGAGCTTGGATTGATTTTACTTGAAAAAGTTGCACCACACAGTTGCAGCAGTGGCATACAGCAGCAGTAGTGACAGCAATCCGCCGTATGCGGATTACTATACTAAACGCGCATGCATAGCGTATAATTGCATAGTAAGGTGAGGCTTCTTTATTTGATTGCTGCCAGGATGGGTAAGCCTCAGTAATTCAATAGATTACTTTGATGTGCGCGTTGGTTCATTGCCTTAAAAGCAGAGCGCAGGAAATATAGGACAAGATGTCGTCTTCTTGTCTCTTGTCCTGTCTTCTTTGCGCTTTGCTTTTAATTCAATAGTGTACGGAGACGATGAATACATGGTAAAAGAGCTGATGACGACGACTGCCTTAATAAATGACTCACACCCGCTCTTGTAAATTCGCCAAGAAATAAATAATTAATAGATAAAAGGGGTCGTATAGAAAAGTAGTTAGAATAAAGTAATAATGCCAATTTAGAAACTCGCTGTGATTTAGTTAAAAAACCGCTCTGATTCAGTTAAAAATTTGCTGGAATGGAACAGTCATCCCTGGGACACTGGCTTTATGACGACACTCCCAAGGATATAAATATCGGGAGTAATCATTCATTCAATCTGATTCTGTTTTGGTACAGCATAACTTTGAGAATGTTTTTCCTGCTACTTTCCTGTTTTATTGTCGTTTTCTACGTTACGCTTCGGCGCTTATTAATTTTTACCTCCTCAATCTCCTTTTCCCATCGCTAAAAATGCAAGATTCTTGCTCGTGGGCATCATTTACATTGAAAATGAACCTGTGAATCGAAAGATTAGATACCGGACACTTTAAAATATGCGACACAATATACGAATGTAGATGTTTTATTGAAATCAGAAACAGAACTTTGGCTGACTTTTATGCCGCTATTATTCAGACTTTATACCCCTGCAAAAAAAGTTGCGAATATTCATGCGAATTCTAATACTGATCAAAGCGCGCGCTCTTTCCATTTCAGGGGGCACAGGATATATTCGAGTCTCTTCCTTGCGAATGGGTCGATCCGAAAGATCTACGCGAAGTGAGCGAGCAGGGTGGTAAGTGAACACTTTATAGAAAGGCCTGATTGCATAGCAACAAACTCTGAATGCATTATGAATGTACGAATCGTCGTAACCTATGATTCTGTATAGCGTATACAATATATTTTAGAGTTCAATAACAACAAAAAAGAGAACAAAAAGAGATAACGTGGAAGCACAATTCTCGCTGCTTCAGTGCAAGCGAAGTGGTCTGAAACCTCCTTTTGTGCTTGCATATGAGAAAATTGTGTAATGGCGCGGTATATCTTTGGCTTCGTGCAAGCACTTGAAGAGGTTGGGAAGTCGTGCGGTCGACACTTCTAAAAAAAACTAATGACTGTATAGCCCAGTAGATGACATAAAACAGTCCAATAAACAGAATATCATCTCCATCCGTGTAGAAAAAAGTGTCATAAGACACTTATGACACACATCCAATAACCTCCTATGATCATACGAGAACACATTTGTGTGTTCATACGAGATTATTGGATACGAGGCCTATGTGTCACGACAATTTTCGGTAGGGATAAATCAAATATCTATATTCGAGACTAGATAAGCCTAGATCGATCATCAATGTTCTGAAGTCCCTGCGCCTCTTTCAGCCATCACGAAGGTCTACGGCGCTGTGGTCAGCAGGGACGACCACTACCGAAGAATCGAGGATGACCACTATGACCCTGAAGAATGTGACCAATTCCCCGAGCGCTACTATTCTACCTTTTCCAAGGACGTAAGTCGTGATCACTATAATAATTTTGTATCAGTAGTTAAAATACCAGCACAAATACGTTCCTTTGAATTACCGTAGGACTCTTACAGATTTTAAATCGCAATACCATGTAAAACATTGTTTATCGTTGCTGCGATAGCATATTCCAATTAAACTTTCTATCGTAACATAGACTTTCCTTGTTGGACTGACTTCCTCCACAGAGCTTAAGTTGGGATCACCGTTATTTATTAATTTCGCATCAAACATTTCTTTAAGTCGGTGTACTCGGCGCGGTTCGTGACCTCATATCAACGCTTGCTTGGCGAACAGTTCGCTTGTGAAGTTCTCAATTATCTCGTGGAAGCCAACGAAAGTCAGGCCGAACGCCAACGACACAGGAAGCGCCGGTAGTGCCATCTGCATGATGGCCAGCATGAATAGCGTCACGCAGATGCCAACCAGGATGCCGATGAAGCAGGCGCACAAGATGGTCCAATCGCCGAACGTCGCTACCTTACCAACCAAGACGCTGTAGAAGACGAAGTCGCCGAGTCCCATCTTGATACCCTTGCTCTCATCCTCCGAGTCGCTCTCCGAACTTGAATCTCTCTCCAACTCCACGGAGGGCTTCGGGACTTGTTCCGGTTGACCTTGAGATGGCGTCACTCCCGCCGCCGGTGCTCGCGACGTAGCCTTTTCGGCTTGATCTTGGGCCAGATCGTATTGCTCAGGCGCGATTGAGCCAGTGTAAGACGGCTTTCCGTAGGACATCCCGGGGTCGACCAGAGCTTGGGAGGACCCGACGACGGACGACCTCTGCAAAGACGGACCGGCATCGTCGGACTGTCGCCGCTCCGACGTTTTGCGACCACGAGAGCGCCGGTCTCTTGAAGGGCCGCGATGCGGCCGCGTTGCCATACCTGGAAACGTGCCCACGACCATGGTAGAAAAGACAAGTCCCGGCTGTAGGCCCTCATTCCTCTCTTTGGCCGTCTCGACGAGGATCCTGAGCGGCCCGACGACAGCCAGCACGGCGACAAGGTCCCAGATTGGAATGAGGCACAGCACGACCCACAGGGTCCAGGCAGGCAGGAACTTGATCAGCATGATCGCCATGAAGGAAGACTCGACGACCAGGTAGAACTGTTGCACCATCAGTGGGCCCTTGGACAGAATCACGACCAGACCGAGTGCCATGAAGTTGTAGACGAAAAAGCCGACCGAGAATACGTCTGCCGGCACGTTGTACTTGTGGAACACGATGTCGATGTAGGTAATTGGCGACATGAAAAGTATCATGGCGCAGGCGAGCGTGATCCAGGATCCGATGACGGTGTAAAAGCGGTAGTAGTACAGCGTCACCATGAGCACCGTCATGGTGATGACCACCCCGAGAAGCAAGAGCGCGTTGCCCGCGGCGTTTGTGGCTCGGCTGAAGGACTGTTGCTCCTCGGTGTCCGGCAGCGGCGTGTAAGGCAGCGCGGCGCCATTGTTGTCCAGGAAGCGGGGGCTCACTTTGATCGTGACGATGACCAGTAGCATGCAGCAGCTGACTGCCGTCAGTATCCGAACGACGTGCGTCAGCGCGTCGTCCAGAGCTTCCCAGAGAACGTTCGCGGGTACCCTCGGTCGTTCCTCGGCCATGATGCAGCTTGGAACGGCACGCTTGGCAGTTCCGCGATCTTCTTTCTCGCTCGCGCTGCGGCAAGGTGTCGCGAGCGTTCGAAACAATAGCCGTGTTGTCGTAGTAACTTCACAAGCTTTTCTCATTCTAGGAATTTCAGCTGAATATGTAGGCTGAGTTGTAAACATAAAGCATTTTTTTCTATATGTACTCCGTCAACTTCGCCGATTAAGACTGAGCCCATAAAGAGTCAATGTCTCCTACTGTAACGATTGTACGCAAGTGAAGCGGCACTAAAATTTAATTAAGTGAAAAGCTACATATGGTTGAACCAAGCACTACTTATTGCACTGTGTGGTTATGCTCTATGGCCTTCCCTATCATTTCTGAACTGTAACTACGACAAAAAACGAACGCTTACTATCCTAAAACCTCAACGCTCTCGGCTCGTTAATATATCGCGAAGGGTAAAGGGGTAAATTTAAAGTGACGTCTTTTCTACTGCTTACGAAACCGCTGATGGTTCTGCCTTGCCCTTATTTCGCTCGCCTTGAGTGACATTACTCCTCCCTTCGCCGTGGCCGTACGTGACATGAGATTGGGCGGCTGTATTGTCTTCGTAAGTGGGCGTTATGCATACAAATCGCAGCCTATCGCAGGCATACCTTCTAAGAATGAAGTGGTGCTTGTAAAGAAAAAGAATAGTTCTTTATCATTATAAGCCAGGTTTTATGCCCACACCCACAGTACGCGTAAATTAAGAAGCCTCGCCACGACACATTCGCCTACCGGACCTGCGCCGGCCATCGCTTCAATACTTTTTCCGCGCCTTCAGTACCGGCTAGAGTCGCTTGCGCTCAAGTAAACCTCTCCAATATATTTCTTTTCCGATTATTGCTCTTTTTTAATTTCCAGCGATTTATTATTCGCACCCGTTTTCAGTCACCCGAGTGCGCCATACGAATTCTAAGTTTTAACGCGATAGCGTTTAAGAGTTTGTTTCACAGAAATTTCGGCGTCTGCATCAGCGTCGTTGCGAGTGAAAAATCATCTTTCCGCGACTAAAAAAATTGAAAGATGCAAATAACAAATTACGGGTCTAAGTGGGGATCGAAACCACGTCGCAGAATGGCAAGCGGGTGTTCTACCACACAGCCACGCCTCTGCTTGTGAATGCAGTGAAAGTAACTTCCTCTGCTTGGAAACGCAGTGAAAGTAACTTTCGTGATTTACGAACACACGAGTCCTGGATACGTGCTTCACAATACATCGTGAAATATCGCCGTAATAATGCGTGGTGCAAGCGTGCATTGCCATTGGGCGCCAGAACATGGGGTTATCTTAATGACTTGATGATTTAAAGCCAGTCACCCCCTACAAAAGGCATACACGCCACTGACCCTTAGTCACGTAGTGGGTGTATAGCAAGTTCGAAAACATTTCATACACAAAATGTTTGAAGTACGCTGTAGGAACAGAATAGCGCTATATCCCTGTCAGCTCTTATAGGCGAAGCTTAAGGGTCCCCCAATATTTTATTGCGACGCTTAATCCTCCCAGCTCGATTGCGTGTACTTTCTCGACGCTTGGTGTAATTACAGCAGATGCAGTTTTTTTTTCGTTATCTTCAGAGCGTAACGCACGCCCAACGGCTGAGCACAGAATTTAAAAGCTCATTAACGCGATAGCGTTCAGTAGCTCGATTCGCAGAAGTATTGGTGTCGGCGGTTGTCAGCGAAATGTTAGCGTTGTCCATGAGCTAAAGTTCGAGACAGATACAAATAAATAAATAATAAAAATGTTCGGTCCGAACCGGCCGGAAGCGAACGCAGGACTTCTGCGTGGCAAGCAGAAGTTATTTCATAGAGCCAAGGCCATACTTAAAAATTTCTGACATGAAAAATAAGAATAAACACACATTATGAATGTCGTGTAGTGCAGGGAGTATTTTTAACGCGTCTAATAATGCGTGGCATAATCGCGGAATTGGACTTGGTGTAAAATTATGTCATTTGCACAACGAGAGGTCGATTCAAAGGCACACTAATTACAAAAAAAAACTGCAGGCGTAATTTACCATCGTTGTCAGCAACATCAGAAACATGTGCATGGAGCAGATGCACGTGTTACCTTATAGACTAGTAGTGGTTATTTCACTAATTCGCAAAAGGTAAAGCCATGTCGTGGTGGGAACATCGCAGCTGTACGTGCAGTAGACGTTCTGGGGTCGTTTGAAACGAGCACTTCACATGCACGAAGACGTTCTTTTCCTTGTGGCCTGGTTGAGGAATCAACCGAGAAGAAATGCCAGGATACCGATTGAGACGGCGATTCGAAAGGGCTCAGATTAAGCTGTCGCTTTGTAGACTCTTGAAGGCGAACCTCGAGCGTCCTCCGAGATTTTTCAGTTGCGAAAGCAGCTTATCGCGGAGTCCTATCCGGTGGTATGCGGCGTGACCACCGTTACTGCGCATGCGCCGATTCTCCCCCTTTCTCCTTGCGCGAGCGCGAGGAGGTGGGACGTGGCAGGGCGCTGGCTTCGCATTCTTCCTTATTTCCCACTTATCTATCCGTCGCAGCTGTGCGCTCGTATAGTATATTCTGCGTGCGCTCGCCTCGTTGCACTCTCCTATAGCGGCTCGGGGTGTTCACATTGCGGCACACACACGGTAATACAGACACATGGAATGGGGATTGGGGTAACATAAGCGGTACACAACATATGCAGAACTCCACACACAAATGAAACATACACGGAAATGTACAAATGTAAACAAATGGAAATGCAAACGACAGTGCTGCTTAATTCTCATCTCCAGAGTGGGAGATGATGTAACTTTTTTTTAGTTTTGCTTTGAAAGTTAGCTTGCTCTACGCCGTCTATTAGCTGCTGAAGTGTACATAATGCCTTACAAAGGCACAGCGGGTACCTCGACCTTTTCCGGAATGATGAATGGCCCGGTGGGTACTGAGATGCTTCGCATAATTGATTTATAACCTAGTGGGTACTTCGCAGCTGTACTTGTGATGTTTAGAACGTGTATACTCTTACTTTCGCTGCAGCAGCGCGGTGCAGCAGCACCGACGGAGTCTGGCCTCGGTCCAGTCGGTCTCGAGATCTCGGCACTCTAGCCGCATCTACTCGTCTTCGCCTGATACTCGGCACAGTTTGACCTTCGGCTAGCTCACAGCGTTCAGGCGAGCTGGAACCCGTGTACGGCAGCCTTCTGTAGGATGTCCTGCGGTTTAGCTGTACTTTGGAGGACCGGACGTCTGACGGCCTTTGAGAAGACGAACAGGGATTGACGTGGACGTCGAGCTGCCGTCGCTCGGACGGTCCTCTTCCGCGAAAGCGTCGCTCCCTTGAAGACCTGCGCTGCGGCCGCGTAGTGTTCCGGTCGCGAAGAACAGACCAGACTGCAGGCCCTCCCTCCTCTCCCTGGCCATCTCCATGAGGATCCTGAGCGGCCCGACTACAGCCAGCACGGCGACAAGGTCCCAGATTGAAATAAGACACAGCATGGCCCACAGGGTCCAGGCAGGCAGAAACTTGATCAGCATGATCGCCATGAAGGAGACTCGACGACCAGGTAGAACTGTTGCACCAGCAGTGGGCCCTTGGACAGAATCACGACCAGACCGAGTGCCATGAAGTTGTAGACGAAAAAGCCGAGCGAAATTATGTCTGCTGGCACGTTGTACTTGCGGAACACGATGTCGATGTAGGTGACGGGCGACATGACAAGTATCGCGGCGCAGGCGAGCGTGACCCAGGCTTCGATGATGGCGTGGCAGCGGTAGTAGTAGAGTGCCACCATAAGCACGGTCGTGGTGATAATCACTCCGAGCATCAGTAAAGCGTTGACCACGGCGTTGATGGTTCGAGCGAAGGACAGTTGCCCGTCGGTGTCGGGCAGTGGCGTGTATGGCAGCGTGGCGCCTCTGTTGTCCAAGAAGCCTGGGCTCAGTGTGATTGCGGTGATGACCAGTAGCATGCAGCAGCTGACGGCCGTCAGTAACCTGGATGACGGGCGTCAGCACGTCGTCCAGCGCTTCCCGGATGACGTTTCCGGGTATCGTCGGCCGTTCCTCAGCCATGACTGCAGTTTAGGCGATTATACTCCTCGCATGATTGGCATTTATCCATTCAGGGGGATCGCTTTGATAATGACCATGAGACCTCTAACATGACTCATATCCCACACAGGGGGATTCTTAGGTATGTTAGATATGTCAAAGATCATATTAAAATTAAGACATGTTGACATGTTAAGTAGTGAATATCGATGCGAAAAAAAAAAACGTACGTAGAAACTGAAACAGTGCAATAAATGTTTTCCGGTTCGGTACTCTTCTCTTACGCTGGCGCTCGTAACATGGTGCGAGCACTTGTAATGACTCGCGTATATAGCATCATACTTTGGCTCGCTCCCTTTCATTTAGGTGTTCAGGTTCAGGCGTACACTAGAGCCCAAAATAGTTGCCCTCGTATGTGCAAAACTGCAGAAACTCGGTTGACGTCACCAGTGAAAGAACTGAGGTTGTAGAAAGTGTCGCTGTTTTCGAATGCTATGGTTACACGCATGTGAAAAGGCGAAGAAAACTCTTTTAATGTGAAATACTGCGTCTATTAGAGTAACGAGCTGGTGGCACAGTGCAGTTTGACTGCGAGGTGCAGGTAGCTTGCTATATCGCGCCGTGGTGACGCAGCTGTGAAGCTCTCCCGATGGATAACCTCTAGAGGTTCATAATGCACCGTAGCTTACGCCACAGTGAATAGTGAATAAACCATAAGAAGTGGAAATAAGATTTATTTGTCGGATTTTGTTTGAAGCCTGTTCGCGAAACCCACCACTGTCTCTGGTATATTGCAAGCACTCGTCAGTGCTTGACAGCGTTGGCTGTATGTCACATAAGGTAGGTAGATGTATAATTACCTAACGACAAAGAAAACTTGGAGGAGAAATTTTAGGCTCCTAGGCACCACTAAAAAGAAATACAAAGCGCCAGAAGAGCGACGCCTTTATTTTGGTTGTGCTTAGGCGTCTAAATTTTTTTATTAAGGTTACGTGCAAGGTAGCACAACAAGTTCGTCAAAATTAAAGCTTATCTCGCTTTCCCCTCTAAATCCCCACCGAATTTTGCGGCTCACACAGATCGCTCCTTACGCGTCGGTGATCGTGAACGGCATCTACTGGGCGGTCAACTCTCCCAAGCTGCTGACCATCCCGGACGCCAAGCGCCTCCTGCAGCCCACCAACACGCCGTGGCTGCCCAGCAGTGCAGGGGCGCCGTCCCTGCCTCACCGGCTGCTCGCCATCTGCGACATCAGCGCCGACCCCGGTGGCTCCATCGAGTTCATGAACGAGTGCACCACCATCGACGCGCCGTTCTGTCTCTACGACGCCGACCAGCACAAGAACACCGAGAGGTAGGCGGGCAGTATAGCCATAGACAAGGGCTTTCGCAGTTCCTCTTGCAAGCGGATGCTTTCGCGGAGTGGCGCAGCAGGGAATGTGGAGGCTTTATTTCGCTCTCGTGACAGTGAAATAGTGTGAAGCGTGAAAATGCTCGCAGTGTGTAACGTGAAAAAGTTGTTCACTATCGTGAAAGGTGCTTCACAGCGACTGAAAGTGTGCCTAGACAAATGCCATCCGTAATTGCTTTAATGCACAACTGTCCTTAATGCAAAACCCTGCGCACGCCTGTGGAGAATTGCGCGCACTTCAGAATCGATTTCACGTTGTCTTTCGGGACATTTTTTTTTATTGGGGGCATATCGATGACCAGTTATCTTACTTGAATTTTCTTCGTTTTATTTGCAGCCTACGTCGTAAGAGTTGGTGAGCCCTTAGCTGTGAGATGCATATAGTGAGCGTATAAGATAGCTGCTGCTATGCACGATATTCTTTCATCCCATTTTTTCTTTCTCACGTGTACTGCACTTGGCATGAGCATTCATAAACAACCTAGCTTAAACGTAGGTAGTCATACCCTTCTGCTATTTAATTCGCCAATTAGGTGGGACGCCAGAGTCTGAAGCCTGCATGCTCGCTTTTCCTCGACTTTCGGCGTCCATCAAATTCTGATATCGCCGATACATCCCGCATGCACTGCCACAACACGTATACAGTCGCGCTCAATATGAGCTACAACCCTCAAGCCTGACAGTTACTCCGACAAACGTTAAATGGGTTCATAAAGTACCGCTAGCTGAAAAGGTTAATTCGTCTTTTTTTTTCATTCTATGTGAATGCCGCTTTGCAGTAATGGCGCCATTTTGAGCACAGACAGCGAGTTGCAACTCGCATTGAGCGCGACTGTACGTTAGATGCAGCTAGATTCCCGGCTGAATGCAACACGCAAAGTGTAGACTAAAGGGCCACATCGTTTCCGCCTGTTCCAGCTTCGCGGGCCCCGGCGTTCTTGTGTGCTCCATTGACAACATGCCGACGCAGCTGCCCCTGGAAGCGACCGACTATTTCGGAAAGCTGCTGATGCCCTACATCAACGACATCGTAAGTTTCGCCGGCAGTCATTGCACCAAGTGCTGAAGGAATTCGCCAGGCTCAAACTTGTTGCAAATTTGCTTGAATCAAGGCAGGCTTCACACGAGAGATACGTTGCAGCTGCAATATCATGCAATGAAAGCTGTAATCGCCCATTTATGTGCCAAGTGGTAAAATGAACCTGAAAGCAACCACTCATTGATTTCGCGGTTAAATTTTCATTTGAGATTTCTCCGTCTGTCTAAACTGATTCTGCGTTAGTGTTATGTGTATTATTTAGTCCGCCGCGGCAGTGTAGCGGTTATGGTGATTGGCTGCTGACCGAAAGGTCGCGGGTTCGATTCCGGCTGCGGCTGTCGCATTTCGACAGAAGCAAAATAGCAGAGGCCCATGTACTGTGCGATGTTGGTGCACTTTAAAGAACGTAAGATGGTCGAAATTTCCGGAACCCTCCACATGGCGTTTCTCATAATCATAGCGTGGTTTTGATATATTATTACAAGACAGGTCATTAAAGGGACACCAAAGTGAGACAATAAATAGCATTAGACCGATAAATGATACCTTGAAAACTCCACTGTCATCAATTTGACCACGGTATGTTTGTTCATAGCAGAGAACACAAAGGCCGCAGTCTCAATTTTAAATTCCACGCCGAAATCTCCCCCACCTAAGGTCACGCATTTCAAACCTTTTTTTTTGTTTTCGTATTGTTGTGGCGCTGGCTCAATGACATTTCTTCAATATTAGCATGTCAAGTCTGCGCCCCCCTTGGGTGATAATGTATTTATTAAATAATCCTCTAGCAATTAAGTAGGCGCTAATTGACCTTCGCAATTAGCGACGTTATGGCAAATGATTCGGGAACTCGACGGTGGCGTCGTAATAAGCATTTTTTTTCTTGCCCGTTTCCTCACCTACGAAGCATCTTCTCGAAATATGAGTGCTGCTTTCGGTATTGCGATATTGAATTCAAATGATAAGTGGAAAATCTAATTTCTCTGTAGCGTTATTTTAAAGTGTGGATTTAAAGTACTAAATTTGCCGTAACACTCCTGTAGTGCCTTTTGTTTCCTCATTCTCGGCCATCTGAGTCTTCCATTAGGCTTAACAGCCTCTGAAGACGATAAGGAGCGATTCGGGATAGTTGGTGTGTGTGTGTGTGTGTGTGTGTGCGTGCGCGTGTGTGTGTGCGTGCGCGTGTGTGCGCGTGTGTGCGTGTGTGTGCGTGTGTGTGCGTGCGCGTGTGTGTGTGCGCGTGTGTGTGTGTGCGCGTGCGTGCGTGTGCGTGGGCGCACATTTTTTTTGTCCGTGTGCTTTCGTGCGCTCAACTCCTACAAGTTTCAAGGCGATAACTCTAAGGCTAACACATGAATTTCTCGCAGATTTCCTCTGACGCGACGAAGCCCCTGTCTCAACATCGAATGTCGCCAGTCGTCGAAGGGGTGCGTATTGAGTTACGGCATACGTGTATATACTCGATTCTATTGTTACGCATGGTTATATCTCCACAAAATGCTGACACGACTGGCTTTTTCATTTCCTTGCACAGGCTGTTATTGCAAGCAACGGAAAGCTGACGCCCAATTACGAGTACATCGAGGATCTGCGCAACACATCCAGGTCAGTCAAGTAACTTTAGTGGCATGTGCTGCAGGCTATAGGTCAAGCATACTACATAGCCAGTCAATTCAGTCTATTACGGGCCCAAACCAAGCGAACGTCTGGTTCTCTACCCTATGCAAATATACAATGCGCATGAGTTAAGGAAGGCAAGGGATAAACTCGCACAAATTACTGAGGCTAGTGAGTCTGAGATACGAGACTTCAGTGTTTAGGCATTGTGATGAAACATCACGACCTTTGTAGACTGCAGACGAAAGTAATATGTCCGCCCGTTTTTTTTTTTTTTTTGCACTTGTCAGTTTCTGTCGCGTATGCTAGCACTTCGTGTGTTAGTCTCGGTAGAATATAACGACAGTTGCTTTCGGTTTCCAAGAATAGAGCCAATGTGACTTGGCAATAATCTCCCTGCTTGCACGCCCCGAAAAAAATAAACCCTGCTGCGCCAGAGGCTTATCTGAGGAGGGTCTCAAGAGGGCGCCTGCTATCTTTACAGTGTGCAAACGCGCCTCTTCCGTGCAGGTCCATGAAGAAGGCGCAGAGTGCCACGGCTGCGAAGATGAAGAAGGTGCTGGTGCTTGGCGCTGGCTACGTGTCGGCGCCTCTGGTCGAGTACCTGACGAGGGACGACTCTGTGCACGTCGTAATCGGTAAGTCCGATTCCTATGCTATTGCGCCCGAGGAATCTCGTACCCTGCAGCTTGTAGCACAGCGCTGAAACAAAGGGCAAGAAGGCACAGGCGGCACACAATCTTTACTGTACTTCATCTTCGTTTGCTTCCGCGCTATGCTGCGATCCCGTTTACAATGAACATAGAAGCCCGTATAGATACCCTTGTCGACTTTAAATTTCGAGTATCTCTAAAGTTCGACAAAGTAGATCACTGCGTAAATTGGTGTGCGCAAAGAGACAGGGACAAGCTTCTTTTCTGTGTCTATTGTCGGTGTTTGCGCGCTTCAGTTCACTCAGAATTATGAACGAACTCGCCCAGCTACAAGTTTTACTGAAGCAGGCCACATTTGCAGGAGTATTTCACATACGGTGCGGAACATGCATTGTTTCTAAACGCCGGATCTTCGTTGGGTCGCTCTCTTTTGACCTCAGTTTAAACGGCACGGAGGACGGTGCACAAGAAGTAGACAGCACAAGGCTGCTTTTATACGACCTCCGCGCTCTTAACTCGGAAAACGTCGTATCGAAACCCCGTGTGGTGGTTTAAGTACGTTGCAAAGCAATCGCTTGATATCGCTTTTCAGATAAACGTACTTATCGCTACTTCAGAGTTCAACATACCTGGGACGTTGCTGAAGTTGGTGCGTATTAAGTTTGTTTCTTCGGTTACGAAATGTCAACTCAATGAAGCCAGCAAAGACCTCACTTAGAAAGGAAAAAAAAAACGCCACATTTGTGGAGAAAACGTTCTTGTGGGTCAGTTTTTTTTTTCTTTTTTGATAAGACAACATAAATTTTTATTAGGGAAAGGGAGGGCCGAAGGTCACTGATGGGGAGACTTGAGGAGTGGCAAGGAGTAAGACGAGAGAGTGTTATCAGGTCACCTGAAGATTCACTCGTGCGTGCGCTAAAGAAATGTGCTGGCAAATTCTGCCTTGGAAACTGCGACATTTACTTGGAAATCGCGTGGCATCAGTTGAAACAACGCATACCTTTTGTGCAGGTCGTGATTTGAAGTACAGCCTTTACGAACGATGGACAGATCATCCGACCACTAATTTGACGCGTGTACGAGTCGGTGGAGGGGAGAGAGGGTGTGCAATACCATTTGGTTGTGCCTTTGCTCCCACGGTGCAAGGATATTCTTACACCATGGTTTGCTCCTCAACACTCGAGGTCACGTGAGGTGAGACGAAACGTCACGTATGACGTCATTGGTAAAGCGGTAGGTCACTGCATCGAACTAAAAACCGGCTCGGCGTAAGGTACTACCGCAGGCCAACCACTGACGCCGGCAAAATGACGCGATGCTTCTGTAACGCCACGCAAAACATTGTCTTACATTCAAATTGTGCGGCAGTGGTATGACGCGGGGGCGCAGCCAGGGATGGCACATCGCGCATGTGGCCCTGGTATGACGTCACGAACAATATTTCAGCTTACACCACGTGACCCTGACGCACAAATAGGCCCTCCTGTGTCAGTGTACACAATGTGAATTATTTCTGGCCGGATTCAACTTTTCTTCAGCGAATGCCTGAAATATTAATGCGGAAGCCTTACATGCCTCATCAAACGCGAAAATTTGCCGCCGGCGGTACGTGTACTGCGTCAGCGGCAACACGAGTGATGCAGAAGAAAAAAAAATCATCATCGCGTGATTACATCACCATATGAATTCATCGTGATATCACCGATTTTATGACGTCATCATCGCATCACTCATGACAGCTTGGCTTAGTAAAGGTGGACCGATCACCGATGCTGATCACCAATACATCAATTGAGAAGGATAATGACTTTCGCCTTCCTGTCGTCTCAGGCGAATTCATGAGTTTTGTGTGCTATCAGTACTCGCTAGTGCTGGCTGCTGTTATAAAACCACCATTGTTCTCGCAAAATCTGTTTAATTCATGAGCTTTCCCCCAAATATTTTAGATGCGCCGCAGCTTATGGCCAAGGCTTTGTCTCTCCCTCCTTCCCGGGGTGTCCAAACACTTGCGCATGCATGTCACACTTCCCCTATTTCTACTCTCCTACGCCTTCCCTCTTTCCCGAGTCAGCGGCGACGGCAACGAAACGCTTTCTCAGTACACACGGTCACTCCGTAGCCGTTGATCGTCGGTCTTGAGGCGTTCCACGTTTCCGTGAGACAGAACACGTCTGCTTCGGATAGCACGGTATCACGTTTGATGTCTCGGGCGTGTGCGTTCAGGGATCGGACCGTCCGTTCCTATGCGCTTTCCGCACAGCCGCAACGCACGTGCCGGCGTTCCTCCCGCATGCAAGCGGGAGACAAGTAAGCCAATTGGCGACGCTCTTTCACCCTCCACAGCGTCGCCAATTGGCTTATTTGTCCCCCGCATGCGTGCGGTAGGGGTCCCGGCACGTGCGTTGCGGCTGTGCGGGAAGCGCGTGGAACGGCCATTAGCAGTTCTATAGTCATGGTCACCGGCAGCGTTCACGGCAGCGGTCACCGGCATCAAGCGATGGTCGTCGGCAGCGTTAATTAGTTAGGTAGAGGTTTTGAATGTTGGTGCACCTTCGTAATTAAGGCAACGTGGACGAGTTTCTGTGGGTGCCGTTCACCCTCTCTCAAGTGTTTCGCCTCAGCACATGGTTCCCTTAGCGGGAGACGGCGTAATTTCTTTTTTTCAACGCTGCCTTTTTTTTTCCTTTCCCAGGGACGGCGTTCCAGAAGGAAGGCGAAGCTCTTGCCATCAAGACGCCCAACACCGAGTCCGTGGTCGTGGACGTCACGACAACCCCTGACGCCATCCAGAACCTCATCAAGGACGCCGATTTAGTGGTCAGGTACACCACGCCCCCAGGCTGCAGTATGTGCGCCGACTTTCGCACACCGGTTCTTATTCAGACGCCATACGAGGCTGCTCGCATGCGGTGAGGGTTTCTGTTCAGAGCTCCAATGACTTTTTCCGGAAGGTCACGTAAGTGCACTGAGGTTCTCGCATCTCGCAGTCTATCGCGGTGCAGCATTGTGAACATAGAAGTGACTACTTCACTGTTAATTATATCTAGTTCATTCTTTATGAACTAAAAGAAACATCGCTCAACTCGGCTATCTTCTCCAGCCAATCTCTCGTGCTGTTCCCACTTAATCCGGATAACTATTTTACGCATCCCCAGGCACGGACCGCATAATAATGGGTGGAGGGTTCCGCCCCAAGTTACGGTATAATCATGACACGCCATATAGTAGAAGGCTCTGAAAATTTCGACCACCCGAGGTTCTTTAATAACGTGCACCCAGACCTACGTACACGTTCCTCGAACATTTTCGCTCAAATCAAATGATTTGAAAGAGTTAGCGGTGGGAGAGATTGCTTGAACCGAGACTTGCCGAACGCAGCTTCCTGCCCGAACTAAATCACACTTTCTAAATTTCAGTAACAGCTTTGTCTGTTGAATTAGCTCTGAAGGCTTCCCGATTCGAATCTTTTTTACGCGGCTCACACTTAGAATAGCGACACTAAAGATACATTTTTCAAGTTTCTGTATGCGCTTGTGTGCTGTGTGCCTGTGTTGCACTTCGCTAATGCTGCTATTACCTATATGACGACGGGACTATTGCTATTCTTCACGAGAACCATCAAATTGCCATATGTGTTGGAAAACTGCTGCGAGGATTTTCTGTACCAGTCGAGATTTCCTGCACTAAACGTGCATACATCTGTCAATCCAACAGTTTGCTGCCTTACCCGCTGCACCCGACGATAGCCCAGTACTGCATCGCTCACAAGACGAACATGGTGACCGCCAGCTACCTCACCCCGGAGATGAAGGAACTGCACACCGCGTGAGTAGAGCCACTGCGTTTCTTCGAGCCGATAGCCTTGTACGTCTCACGTGAACGTAGCCTTGAACGAGTAGCCCACGCGACACAAACATTATTATCGGCCTGAGGGGCGACCAGCAAAGTCCCCTTATGGGCGAGGAGCCGTCGCGGGCAGCTCGCACGTCGTGACGGGCAGGCCGTGACTGACCGCCGCACCATGGGCCTTCAAGACGGTCTGTAGCGCTAGATAAGTGACAAAAAAATCACGTGACGGGTCTGCGATAGCTTTACGAAAGTGAGTTAAAGCACGTCTGTGTCCATACATGATCATCAGAGCAAATTATGTAGAGAGTTGCCTAACGTTGCCTAACATGCAAGTAGGTGTAGTTTGTGTCGACGTCTAACGTTCACTAATTAAGTCCACAGTTATAGAGCCACATCGGATGAATTTCACCATGTAGTCGTCTTAGGCTAATGCATGATACCCGATTTTCATTTTATTTATCTTGGATACACTGACAGCGCTGCCTGGCGTATAATCCCGCGCTTCATTTGTGAGGAGTTGTCTCCTAGCATGCAATATTTACTCGCGCGCTACCACCATTGGTTAGCTCTGGCTAAAATTGGCTACATAATTGGTATTGTTCGTGGAATGATCTTGTCCAATGGCGTCTATTGCTGTCATGATCAGTACCACGATATTTAGCCCAAGTCAATACAACGATGCTCTCGAAATTACAAGACAGCAGAACGAGTAGGTTTTGTCTCATATTAAAAACTTACTCTCCGAGCAGGCGCACTGCTATAGCCTCAAGGTTGAGCCGCAGGAGAGACAATTATCAAAACTTGTTGCTTTCAGGGCGGCTGACGCGAACATCACCGTGATGAATGAAGTCGGTCTCGATCCTGGCATCGACCACCTCCTGGCCATGGAGTGCTTCGACGAAGTGCGCAGGAAAGGCGGAAAGGTCGGTGTTCGACGCAAAAGTTCTTCACCCTGAGGTATACGCTTCACCACGAGCGAGTATTGTATAGAAGAAAAGAAAGTCGGTAGGGTATGGTATAGTAAAACTCCGTGGGCCCTGTGGCTCAGCCAATGGCTCATGCGCACCGCCTTCCCTCTGGGACAGGTTAGCTAAGCCTAACTGCCATGTCTTGGGCCCTCTGGACGGCCCTGAGTGGATTTTGAAGCGAGTCGCTGGCTAGTGTCTGTTGCCACCACCTTTCTGCGTCGGTGATATGGCATGCATTTGTTTTGTAACTCTCATAGAAGGATTTAAATAGGTCCAAGTGAAGGTGGAAGCTTTGACACGAAACATTCGTAAACACGGGGTGTCGCTAGAACCCAGACAGTCATTCACAAATTTTTCTCACATATAGTAAGAGTAGTGCCGTATAACTGCCACATACAAATGCCTTAGTGCTTGCACTTCATGTAAAATTAGTATGATGCATGTACAGGGGTGTTAAAAAACTCAGACGTGCACGCCGCCACATAATTACATCGGAGAGCGACCTGGGAACATTTAGCCACCCTCTGTGAACTTGAGTATTTAGTTTGTCTACTTGCTGCATGACTTATAGAGGGGGGCCTTCAAGTGGAAATAACCTCTTTTTTTTTGTTCGAGCCTACGTCTATTCATTCTTATGAAAATGAAAACAGAAATTGAAAACTGGAACACTCGGCCAACGTTTGTCGTTTGTGCAGGTCGTTTCGTTCGTGTCCTATTGTGGTGGTTTGCCAGCGCCAGAACATGCTAACAACCCGCTCCGATACAAGATCAGGTGAGCGTTGTGGAGGTTTGCACAAGGCTGAAGCTTGTTTTGCTTTTTTTTTGTACACTAGAGTGTTTAATGCCGGGATGTACCCCGACTCCGCAGACATATGCCAGTCACTGAAAATATACCCTAAGAGTGGCTAGAAGAGAAAGTTCCGTCACCAGAAGTCAAACCTACCTCTCACCGAGTTTTTTTTTCATTACAATCAAACATAAACGCACACGCAGCATATATTACGTGTTGTAATGAACGGAAGGTTTTTTATTGCAACTGGTTTGATTACTAGTGATTAATCGAACTCGTAAGTGATTGGGATATTTCCAAAATATCCCATTCGTGGCGCAAAAGGTGTCGCGCATTTACCTTAATTTCCTGATTAGTAGAGCACTGCTATTGATAATATCGACGTCTTAGACGTGCTGAAACATTGATGTTTCACTCTGACGTAAAATTTTGTTTTTATTCAGTGTCTTTTAGTGTCGAGATGTGACAGCTGTTAGTTCGCGTTCGTCCTCTGCATGCTCCTTTCATGCATCCTTTCTGCTTGATGAACGCGCTTCATGTTTCGAGCTGCTTGTAGTTCTTCGCGTGGCATGGCGATTTGTTGCTATAGCATTTATTCTACCTCTGGGTTGACGCGTGTCGCATTCGTGTGTACTGATTCTCGTGGCAGAGGGATCAGCCATAATGTTTCGTCCTGTCCGCAAATTCACACTGTGTATGCTAGAGGTGAACATGAACCAACTATACATTGTACCGCACCGTTGTAACGTTGTCACTTTTGATGGCGGTCGCGTCTGATACGTATTGAATATCTTGATCGTGATTGGCAACTCTACGAAAGCTGCAGAAGCTTATCGCTGTTGAGAAATTTCATCACAATCAGCACTGTATACAAACGTTGTACACACTATTTATCTCGCATCCAATAAAGTTGGAGGCCTACAAACGTGTTCAAGATGTGACATTTGTTGGCTTTGAACATCGACTGCAGGACGAGACACTTGTAGCGCGAAAATTGCTGGGAAAGGGTTCAAAATAGTGGAGCCTAATTTTTTTCTTTTCATTTTCGTCACAGCTGGAACCCACGAAGCGCATTTGTCAATTGCATGGGATCCGCTCGATATCTCGAAAACGGCAAGGTAAGTGACCGCATTATTAATTACATCTTTTTTCTATGTTTCGTACTTCAAGTCCAGACAAAATATTCGGGATTCAATCTAGAATTCACGTAATTGCACGGACGATAGATTACGGTTGCATAGACAGCCAAGTACATAGGTAACCTGTCAAAAGCATAGCAAAGCTGTCAAAAGCTTTGAAGGTCATATTTACTGATTCATTTACCAAACAGGTAATATGAACACCGAGCATCATCTGCGTGGTAAACCTGAACTTCAGTGTTGTATTTCTTGCACCTAACAAGCGCGCTCTTAGAGCCACATTAGTCTAAGCTAATTTCGCCCAAATGTCGAGCATAGCTCGGTCGGCAAGGTCACCCACACCAACATGAGGCTCTGCTTTGTTAGAAATTGGGTTTTCCCAGTATCCCACGGCAACGTGGCCGTCGTAGCCGAAGTCGGGAGTTTTCGCTTAGCAGCGGAGCAAGAGACAACCGTCTTGAAGAGAATATCAACGTTTAGCAGGTTGTATGAGTATACAGAGCCTGCCAGCGCGACAAGGTCGGTTGGGGCGAGCCCTTTAACAACCGACCGGCACGGTCATCAAGGACCATACGGTCAAACTTTCCTGAGCTACGGCATCCATCATAATCATGCCGTGGTTTAGGAACGTAAAAGCCCAGATATCATCTCACTCCTTAATTTCTCCCAAACCTCGGCTGAGGTGAACGGCGACGCGCGAGGGCTTCCACTCTATACGAAATCACCTCTGCCTCTCAAAATTTCGTCGACCTGTTCGTACGGCCGAATCAAAGCTCGTGTTTCTTGCAGGAGGTGGAAATCCCGGCCGGCAGCCTTCTGGACAACGCCCAGGGCGTTCCCTTCCTGCCTGGCTTCAACCTCGAGGGTTACCCCAACAGGGACTCGCTCATCTACAAGAGCACCTACGGAATCGTCAACGCCCACACCGTACTTCGCGGCACGCTCAGATACAAGGTCAGCACTACCGATCGCGTAATTCGGCGACGAGGGGCGTCACTGTAACTCTTGTCATTCACACTGAAGTGCGACTCACTCAGTATTTGGAGAAAAACTTGTTCCTGGACGAGTTGGTGCCCGTGTTTGCTGCATGATGGGCGTAGCCGAAGGGGGAGGGGGTTCTAACTCCCCCGACACTGAAAATTTTCAATTTTGCTCGCGTATATGTACACGCACACATACAAACACACGAACGTACATAAGGTATGGTTGACATCCCCTCTCCCTCCGAAAAAAAAAAACTTTCTGGCTGCTGCGCTCCTGGCGCACTGAACACGTTTTAACGCGGCAGCGTTAAAGAACTAACTCGTTTCGCAGAAATTCCTGTGTTGGCGTCGCTGTTTGTGAGCGAAAAGTCGGCCATCTCTACGTAACCGAAAAATCGAGAAATGTTGAAATATTGGTTTCGGGTCATAGTGAGAGTGTGCTCAGATTTGGGTGCACGTTAAAGAACCCCAGGTGGTCAAAATTTCCGGAGCCCTCCACTACGGCGTCTCTCATAATCATATGGTGGTTTTGGGACGTTAAACCCCACAAATCAATCAATCAATCATAGTGAGAATCGAACCCAGGTCGGTCACGTGGCGAGCGAGTGTTCTACCACACAGCCATGCCTTTGCTTGCGAGTACAGTGAAAATAACTTCTGCTTAGAGATGCAGTGAAAGTAACTTCCATGCTTTAAAAACACTGGCGTCCTGTATACATGCTTCACAATACATGAAATACTGCCGTAATAATGCGTGGGACAAGCGTACATTACCATCGGGCGTCATAACATGGAAAGAGAGAGAGAAAATAATTTATTGAATTATCCGCTGGAGAACATGGAATTATCATGGAATCGTCAGCCAGTCAGCCACTACAAAATACACACGGGCTATTTCACTTTTAAGCTACCTAGTGGGTTATGCTACCTAGTAGTGGGTTTTAAGCTACCTAGTGGGTTACATAGTGGATTATGCATAGCAAGTTTGAAAAGATTTCATAAATTAAGTGTTTGAAGTGCGCACATGAACAGAATATCGCAATCGCGTTCAACTCTTAAGCTTTAGGATACCCCTCCTTTCTTTTTCTTTTCCTGGCGCAAATGCTTGCAACATGAAAGGACTGACTGAACAGACAGATGGCGCTCCTGTCTCCTCTGTCCTATCTTTGTTTCAGGCACTACGCCCGAGATAACGTTATCAGCAAACACGATGTAGTCCCACGCTGTGGATCGCAGCGGAAACCTACATAACGAAAATCGGATACAAGCGCTTGCTTCGTTTGATATCCTTGTACAGGGCGCTTCAGTTAACTTGCACCTCGTTAAAAACAAAAACAAGAAAAAGAAAACATGCGCTGCGCGTGTAGAACAGACTTCTGAGCCACAAAAGACGTCATGACGTGTTTTTGTAATCCACCAAGATGAGTAATCAATTCTGATTACTTTTTAAATTAGTAACTAGCAAGAAGTCCTTACTGCAAAAGTTGTAGCATTTCTTATGATACGTCGGAATATTTCATAGCAAGTTAAAGATAAAGGCCAATAAACCAGTCTATGCTATGGGGGCTGCTTAATTGGCTTTTAAAATAGCGGGAAATGTTTATTAGAATAGTTGTAATACCCGTTCAGAAGCGTCGGATTGTTTCATGTGTGCTTAGATAGCCACCCTTTTCCCAGTTTTGTTCTCGGCTTTTCTTTAGACAACGCGAGATTAAATATAACTTCTGCAAATTAGCCGAATGACCCCGTACATATTGAACACTTGCACGACACCTCATTACGCGATCAACTAGCGAACCAACAGCGTGAGTCTGTTTCGACCAGGAAACCAACATCGTTTGTCATCACAACGCTTTGTCTTTGCGAAGTGTATACCACGCATCTCAGCGTTCAAGGCGACTGTTTCCCGTCAATTTTCACTCACGCGACTCGGCCCTTCTTCCAGGGATTCTCCAGCGCAATGAAAGGACTTCAGCTTCTCGGACTCCTCAGCAGCGAGCCCCATCCCAGCCTGCACCCGAAGGGACCGGAAATCACCTGGGTAAGTGAAACCTTTTTCACGACTTAGAAGTGTTGCAGCTTGGGCTAGTTGGTATGGCATGACGATAGTTATAGCGCGAGAACAAAACGACGGCACAAAGACAAGGACACGAAGGACACGAGCGCTAACTCCCAACTGAGTTTATTGCGCAGAGCGTGAAAATATATAGAGGAGACAGTAACCACGTGACAAAAAGCCATATGGCACAAAGAGCAAAACAGGAGTAAGGGAAAAACAAAAAAACAAAGGCGCAGAAAAAGGCAAAGAAAAGTCTACAAGGAAACGAAACAGAAAAGTAAACGTGGACGTGGTAACGTGCCCTCATGATCACAAACTCGCGGTTTATTAGTCGTTCTATATCCATGCTAGTATGTGTGCTTTCGCTTGCGCACGCGTTTACTATACACCTGGTGTTCTTCACTTGGCATAGCGCACTTATGTTCATACATTTCTGTCTCGCTATCGCAGCGCCAATTCATGACGACATTGATGGGCCAACCGGACAATCTGCTCACCTCGAACATCAAGAATCTCATCTACGACAGGGTGGACAAGTGCGATTTCAGGACCAAAGCCATCGAAGAGTATGTTCACTCTGTCAATGCGTACCGCTGTTCTGTTCTTGTACTGTTATGAGTCTAGCGACGTCGCTCAAGCGAAATGGTATACTGCTGGAAACTAGAACGCAGCAATGGTTTCAGTCTCGCATCTTCCCCATTCGTTGCTTGTAATAGCACTACTTTTGCTGGCATTCTCACATGAGCGCGGCAGAAGTTTGTCTCGGTGGGAATGCTAACCCGTGTTGCATGACGGTGGGGGATGAGGGGAATAGTATTAATCTGAAGACCGGACAATGATGCCAAGGAAACGACGTTATCAAAATAAACTGTAAATGTGAGCGTGAAGAAAGAAAAGTGGACTAAAAATAACTTTCCGCTGACAGGGATCGAACCTGCGACCTTCGAGTGTGGCACGTTAGGCCCCGCCAGGGGGCAAGTTATCTGTTCGTTACATTAAAATTTCTGCTAATAACATTCTATATACTTTACTTGATGTCATTGTCTCTTAGTTTTCATCAATATTGTCTCCATCAGAGAAAAATGAGCCTTTAAATTTCTACTTTTTTTCCTGTATATGCTAAGAGTAACTCTAGAGGAGAGCGTTTCTGAGGCTTGCTGGGGGAAAAGTGCTGCTGTGCTTTGGGCGAGGAGGAAAATGGAGGGAAAGAGCCCCCCGTTCCAGCGCCTACAGATTAATAACTATAGGTTCGTCATGCTACCAGCCGTCTTCAACCAAAATGATCGCTTTAGTGTCTTCAGAAACACTTCGTATTTGGGGGCAGTACTTCACTGGCCTGCAGAACAAGTGAGAATTGGCTTTCAATGTAAAACAACATGCGTAGACTGTGGTGCTTCGGGTGTAGAGTCCAGGTTAGGTTGATCTCTTGCTCTTCAGCGAGTAGCGCTGCAAACTGCCATAAACGCTTTTCCGAAAGCTGCTTGGAAGCACCCATTCGTTTATCATTCGGACATTGTAGATAAGCGAGGCAGGTTTTTTTTCTTGGTTTCGATAGACAGGAACGGGCCGATAACGGAAAGGGACATTGAGTGGTTGATTCTGCATCGATGAATTGTGCCGGAACTTCGCACAGAATAAATAGTTGCCTTTGAATCTTTGCCAATGCCAAATGTCTCAGAACGCAAACACGTGGAGGCGTTAAGAAGAATGTTGCGAGCACACTTAACGTTTGTAAAGTGTTCTGGCGGCTTGAAGAGCTGCAAGTGACGCCAGATACGTCGTCGTCATCACCAGTCTGATTGCGAAGGCATCTCCCATGTTTCGCCATTCAACCCGGCTGTGTGCTTGTTGCGGTCAGGTTATGCTCGAAAGCTTCTTGACCTAACTTTCCGCCTTCCCTGGCGAGCTTGTCTCCTCTTGGGATCCAGTCGGTTACTCTCAGTGGCCAGCGGTTACTTTGCGTACGTGCTGCATGCCGTGCCAGTTTCTTGTTTTCAACTAAGACGGGCGCTTCAATTATTTCCAGTCTGGGCCTCCTCGACGACGTACAACTTGAGAAGAAAAACACCCCCCTGGACACACTCATCTTCCACCTGTCCAACAAGCTTGCGTACGGTAAGCGTGTTTGCGATGCAGTGTTCTCAGAGGATGTCACGGTGTTTCAGGGAGTCTCTTTTCTGCCAGTGTATTCAGAGGATGTCACGGTGTTTAAGGAAGTCTCTTTTCTGCCACAGAACCTGGCGAGCGGGATTTGGTCATCATGAGGCACGACATCGGCATCCAGTGGCACGATGAAAAGAGGGCAAGTATTCCCGAGCTGCATCGCCGTCGATCAAAACAGAGATAACGCACCCACACAATGTGTGCACGTGCGCGCGCGTTCTGTGTTTCTAACGTGTTGTTTTTTTCGCGCAGTTTAAGCATCGTAATCAATGCGAATGAAGTACATCTTTTCTCAACTTCCACGAACGCTATAGTCTAGACAATCATTCACAGCAACGTTAAACCGCATGTTAACCAGGACATGCGGTTGATTCATCCGCAGGGGTTACATCAATGTTCTTATTTCTGTTCTTCGATTTCACCAGCCCCAAGCCGTACACTTCTTTATCCAGCACTAATTCGGTGGTTCGCAAATTCAGATCTTGCTGACGAAAAGGGCAGTTCTTCGCCCCACTTCAGTTCTTTCAATCTATAGGTAAGTTAGTCATCTTTGCGCCACTCTTAAAAAACAACAAACGACCTTCCCCATGTGTTCCCCGGCTTAATCGTCCATTGGTTTTATTTGTCTTAACGAGTCCCTCGAGCAAATTACTTTCTAGTCGTAGCATAGGGACTGATATGCAATTGCTGCCGCTAGCAATTTTCCTTGCTCATTATGCATTCGAGTTCAGCTCAGTCGGATTGCGGGAATGTAGAATGTTAAATGACAATTTGGAACTATCAGTATTCTTTTCAACCACTATAATGTCTATAAAGTGAGTGCGACTGTTGCGCAGGAAGTGCGGCACGTCGACATGGTCACCTACGGCGACCCCAACGGCTACTCCGCAATGGCGAAGACAGTTGGCTACCCTGCTGCCATCGCTGCCAAGATGATCTTGCAGGGTAAGCAAAATGTTCCGTATCAGGCGATCAAAAGGTGGACAGGCTACGATGTATTGATGGGTCTACCCTGCCTATTGCACCGTTTACGTTCAAACTGGTACTCTCTCGCTATATCACGCGTTCTTGCTTTACGAGTGCAATCAAAAATACGTGTCATCAGTACTGTAAAGGAGCGTTACCACAGTAAAGATTAATGTTGTGCGAGCAAGCGCGACCATATATCCGACGATTGGTGAGCGCTCATATCGGACGTGGCCTCCGAGATATAGTGCAACATGCCGTTGTGCGTTGTAGCTTTTGCGGGGCCCACGCATTAGAGCCCCTTTCCCACGCGACGATAGTCAGCCAACCCTGGGGCGCGATTCTCGATATATCCACCTAGCGAATAATCTACTTCGGCCTCCACTATTGGCTGCAGCAAAGCAAGCAGCGCGCCCCCTGTTTCCCGTCTTTCTTCCGCAACGTCATTTTGACGTCTCGAAGATTTCACAGCTGTCGACACACACGAAAGATGTAATGCGTTTCCCCGCAACGAATGCTGTCCGCGGAGATTCGCTTTTGGACGCACATCTCGGAGGCCATGCATGAACTCCAATAAAGTTAGCCTTTCACGTAAATCCCTTGAATTAGGCCTAACGCAGCCGCCCGCCACACGCACCTGGAAAGTCTGTAGGCATTTCCTGCATCGCTCTGAAATAGCCGAATACGTTCATATAGAAGTTGAGATTTGCCAAGTATCCAGTTACTATAAATTTTGTCCACTTTCTCTCACTTTGACGCACCGAACCCGCCAGCACATTCCCAGCGTAATGTGGCCAAAAAGCGTCATGACGTCACGGTTTACCCCTTTTTTTTTTTCGAGGAACTAAACGCGGTTCGACTGAAGTGCATGATCCACTAGGTGAATGCACCGATAATCGCGCCCCGACTTCATCCCCGTGTTTTTTCGCGCTGTAAAAGCACGAACCGATTCCAACTAGGCCATGCAACCACCGCCGACGGAAAGGGTGGCGACTCAGCACGCTCGCCCACTCTCCCGAAACGCGCAGTTCTTGCTACCACGGCCGCGCTAGAATGAGAGCAGCGCCGCTACATATACGGCCGGCTGCTGCACATGACGTCACAGCCACACATAGACATTGTCCCACGAAGGCCACGGCTATGCACGACTTCGGCTCCTTTCTTTCGTAGGCCTACTAAAAGCGGCGATTTTTTTTTTTTTCTTGTCTCGCGACGTGTTGTCGAACTCATCGCTGACCGTAAATCTTCCTATACGTGAACAAGGCTCGACTGCCAACTTGCTATACTACATGGCTGTGTAGTCAGTCGAAAGCGTAGGGACCACGATAGGAAGAAGCTTGATATTCCCACTGCTTCAGCAGGCAGCATTTAGACAGGCAGGCAGGAATTTAGATTTCCGGACGTTCTTAAAACACGTTGACAAGGACAGTATCAAAGGAAAAAAAAAAAGATTGGCACAAGTGACCGGTTGCCGGAGCGGCAAGATGGCGATACGCGACGCTGCGGCATCCAGGCACCCTACCCGAGCCCGCCGAATTAGAGTGCCAAGCACATTGTGTTTTCTAAGGCAGAGGGGGCCGGCAGTAAGCACTCCAACAAGCATTTGTTTGCTTGGCAGCTGCGATAAATGTACCATTGCTCGCAATTGAAAAAAAAAACAAAAAAAACACCGGTCTTTAGAATTACGTATCTATGCATCTTATAAACAGACACACGCTACCTAATACTCCCATATTGATGTTGCGCCCAAAAGATCAAGGTGTGTGATCGTTGAGCCAGAGGACCGGCGGCAATGGGTCAAGCTTTCGCTCGGGTAGCTGAATCGGTTGACATACAAACAAAAAGACGGACAAAAAAGGGCTTTCGGATTAGCCAACGCCAGATGGGCTGCTTTCCGCCGGTCCGCTGCGGCCACCCATGCTTTGTAAAATGGAATGTGCTTGGTTGGTAATCTCTCGTTATCGGCGCACTTGGAAAAGAACGCATCAACGCGTGTCGCAAGTTCGCGGCTCCGGCCACCTTTCACTTTTGCTCAACTTTTTTTCGGTGATCATGTACCATGCAGATCGATGGAATACGGTCGCTAATGCAGACGCAGCAGTCTCAAACTCTTGATGCCTATACTGTACGCGGCACTTGAAGGAAGACGCACATGCGTTTCGCACCAAGAAGCTACCGAGTGTACAGTTTTTTCGAACAGCGAGAACTGAGGACGGCGAACAACACATGCGTTGAGCGTGTGCTTTGTGCGCGATTCTTCATAGGCGTCGCGCAAGAAAAACCTGTGTCTTAAGATCACTTGCACGCCGGAGAACACGCGTGGTTGTGAAAACTATTCCCCCGCGATGCATGAAGTGCCTCGTTCACATTTCGTGGTTTTCGCGCACAAAACTTGACAAGTTATCGAGTTCCTAATTATCACGGCTGCATCTGCATGCACAGTACACTTCCGCGGTGGTCTAGTGGCTCTAGTGCTTTCCTGCCGACCCGAAGGTCGCGTGATCGAATCCCGGTCATGGCGGTCGCATTTCAGTGGAGGCAAAACGTTAGTCCCGTACGCTGCGAGTTTTCAGTGCACGTTAAAGAAACCCAGGTGGCCGGAATTTCCTAAGACCACCACTATACGGCGTCCCTAAATCGTATCGTGGCACGTTCACAATCGGAAAGCACGCTTCTGATATTCGCCGCAACTATAGTGGCGGCACCTGCCGTGCTTCAAATGGAGACGGGGTACTCTTTGGGCTTGTCTACCGTGCATGTTTATGTCGAGAGCCGAATGTATACATTTCACACGTCAGCGCAATCAAACGGCGCTTGACTACGCTGTTAGCTGTAAGTAGCTGGCCGCTATTAGCAGGGCAAAGTGCATAGCAGGAAAGCTATAGCTTCGCAATCATGAATAACCTATGTTGCTATTCTAAGGCACGACACACGGGATGTAATTGCGTACCTGTACATATATCGTTCCCGCGTAGTGCGCTGAATGCCTGTAACGTGGTCTTTCTTCCTTGCAGGTGAGATCCAGGGCAAAGGCATGGTGCTTCCGTTCGCCCAGGAGATCTACGGGCCGATGCTGCAGCGACTCAAGAACGAAGGCATTCGATGCTCGGAGACGACCACGAAGAACTACCCGTAACGCGCGCATCCACCGTTCCTCGCAGACTGACGTTTGTTCGAGGCAGGACTCGCGTGCGACGCGGCGAAATCGCCGAATCATTCCGCGGAGCGAGAGTGGCCCGATGATAAGTATACGATGACGCAGCGAGAGATACGTGCGTAAGGAACTGACGGCGGTGGCTCACGTTCAGCGCCTCGTGGATATAACCTAAAGCCCGCTTGCTCTTACGGTGGTGGCGCCACTATAGTCCGACGTGCCGGCGCGGTATAACGCTTCTTTTGCGTGCTTAATCGTTGCATTTTTGTATTTTTTGTTCTTCAACGAGCGATATCAATAGTTGCGCCGGCGCGTCGAACTACGCCAGTGACGCGATTGCCGGGACAACCAGACTATCGAAGTTATATGCCTACACTGTTTTGCAACGTGCCACGTCTCATCGCGGAATGAATCGGCAGTTTCGCGTAACGTAAGAGTGAATGTGTGTATGCATTCTGGAAGCATTTTGCGACTTCGAACTGTGGTGCTGGCGTCGAGGCACGGAATGAAGCACGACTCGTACAGCGTCGGAAGCAGCGCCAAAGCTTGTACAGTCGTCGTCGGAAAACTGCATCGAAGCGTTGACGGGTCTTCTGCAGCCTTCACTGCCTCGCTTCCGTGTACATAAGACGTTTTGCCGCGCTTTTTGCGCCCGGCCAACGTTACCATATTTTTTTACCTTTTATGAAGAATCACTCAATAAAAAAAGTTCAGTGCCTAACAGCACAACGTTTATTGTCTAGAGCGACACCAAGGCCAAGAAAAACAATTCGAGTGTTTTACTGAGCAAGAAATAATGATGCCAGCTGTATACTTTGATTACTTCATAACAATATATTTGTGTTAGGTCTTATCGATACACGTCGCGCGCGGGCAAATTTCGAGTAATGCCTACACCAAAAGCAGTTGTGAAAGAGAATAGGTAACAAACCCTTTATAGCACGGCGCCACAAGGAAAACCAAGCTCTAGGAAAGGAAAGCTTTGTTCTAGAGAGATAAAAAAAATTTATGCTCAGGGGATCGAACCCCGGTCAAGGACGACTTTTTCAGAAACGTTCAGAGAAATCCGGGTGGATTCGTCGCCTCGTGCTACAAACTGTTGGTTGCCGACGTAGTTTCCTAATAGTTCACTATAGAAGGAAGTCTGGTGCCACAGTGTCTGTGATAGCTGCAATGCACTGCGCTTCAGCCAGCTTGGGAATGTTGGGAAATGCATGGATGACGATGATCACGATGCCTCGACCATGGCTCATACCGACCGAGGGGGGTTGGCCAAGAATTGGTTATATGTATTGTTAAGCCTTTCAAGTAATAATCGTAACAAAAAAAACGTATACTTAAAAACAGAAAGAGTTCAATGATTGTTTTTGCCATTTCGGCCAGACAGTAAAGTTCAATGTTGAATATAATTTACAGTAGACATGAAAAAAATTTAAAAATAGTCTTTATATCGGCTCCTTAATGCTATAACAACATATGCATGTAGGAATTTAGAGGTGCACCGAGTCGCCCAACCTTCGTTATCGGCTCCATTTGGATGGTTTGGCTTCGTGTGACCTGCATACGCTTAGTCGCAAGACAAAAAACGTTCAGCAATTCCATTTCATAACATTGACCGTTTTAGGCTCATCAATTCAAATGGGCCCGCGAAGTTCTGTAATCTATTCTTTCATTCGAAACGTAAGCCGAACCGCAACACTAAATGCGGCCACAAGTGCCTTCGAAGCAGTAGGCACGAAGGTTGTGCAAATCTATGTACTATCCTTTATTCCCGTAGTGATGGACGATCGCAGCGCCGGAGTTCCCCCTGGTGAAGATGGTAGGAAGAAACTCTGCGATTGTCAGTTATCTCTTTCACAACCCTTCCGCCAACTTGCGAGATCCTTCAGAACCTATTTTCAATATTCCAAAAACAGTTGTACTTAAGTCCCTCAACGATATTAGCCGTCAGCAAGTTTTCTTGAGAACTGAGATTTTGAGTGAAACTACTAAAGTGAAAAAAAATGAGTGTCGCGCCCTGTAGTTACCTAAATAAATGACGTCAGATCATCTATTTTAATTATTGAAAGACTTAAATATGAAAAGTGAGTTACATAAATTTTGACAATACACGTGCCGTAAACGAGAGTTGCTGCTACTGCTGCTACACATTGCAGCGGCGAAGCTCTGGGACAACTCTCCAATTCGCAGAAATTGTAGCCGAGGTGTTCACGCCGAGTCATCCTTTCGGCGCGCGTCGTGCAATTTTAACTGTGACATCAAGAGCCTTAGGCTGTTTTCGACGCGAAACGTTCTATTAGCACGCAGAGAGCGGTAACTTACTCCGCAGTAATCAATCTAACAAAGCGCAACGTTTTCATTTAGTGTCCCTTTAAAAGCAAGGAACGATACACAATGTTCACGACTATTCTCGTTGCGGAGGGAGAGACTCCAAAGCTGGTGAACTGCGTGAACCCAACAGCTAGGCTAAATCTACGACAGATTAACAACGGGCGCTTGAGATCAAACTGCAGCGCCCCCTTTAGAGGCGCTCGGTTCAAAACACTGCACACATTGAAGTCAACAGGATAAAAATATAGCTGTGAACAGTTCATAGGCGGACTATTTTACATCCACACACTACAGCAGAGCTGGTATTGAGTCAACGAGCATTATACAATGCATTCCATTGCGTGTGCATGCGTGAGAGTATCTCGCATTTATACGTGCCCGTTCACACAGACAGCGAAGAAACTACACTTTTTGCCGTTACGTCACATTACGGAGGCGTTGGCGACAAAACGTGACCACGTGACATCCGTCGTAAGTACACCTTCCCCGTATATGCTGCGCAAGTTCAACGTATAATTGATTGACGAAGAAAATATATTCTACCCAGTGCGTCGCATTATTGCCGTACGTGGGATTCACGGCTATACCGCGCGTGCACGGCTATATCTTATCACAACTGAACTAGTCTCCACATAGTCGAGGATTTTAGGAAAACTGACCTGCCGGCTTCTCGCATGCAGCTTTCATTTCGTCGAAACAAGAGCGGCATCTCTGCGCCAAGCACGACAACTTTCATGCGCTGAGTGAAAGGACCCTTGGTTACTTGTCCTGTTCTTTGTCCTTAGGACTACTTGCCCTGTTCTTTGTCCGTCCTTCGTGCAGGGGCTCCGGAAGTACATCTGAAGCGTGGGGGCAAGGTTTGTGGGCGGGGATATATATAAGAAAAGGAGGGGGTCGTAACAGCTGTTAGTGGGGGGCATGCTCCCCCCTGGTTTCTAACCTGTGGAAGCGACGGCCCCCACTGCCCCCCCCCCCCCCGGTTCCGGAGCCCTTGCCTTCGTGCATTTCGCTGAGCGCTATTCGTCTAGTTACTACGCGTGCGTGGCGGTATACACCCTAAACGTGGTAACAGATAAATGCGATTTTATGTACCTATACGGCAACAGTTACATTGGAGTGCATACATCCCTCAACTTGTTAACCATAACTATCAGTGCACAAAATCGGGTTACAACGTTCAGAGTGTATCTACAGGCTACACTTGCACGCTCGCATGCGTTGCGAAGCACAAGCCGCGTTAAGCAGAAACTATGAGCTAATCGTACTACATCCACTGAACACAGCAGGAAAGTGTGTGGGTTTGATGGAGTAGGTCGTATCGGCCACGAAGTCGTTACGGTCTTCAGCGAACAGAATATTTCCGACAATGGTTGCAGTGTACTTGCGCAGTGCATGTAAAATGCACTGTTTCTGGCATCGTTTTTTTTCCCCCTTCATTGTAGTAGTCTCCGGTGAGCAGCGGCGAGTGGTGCTTCGAAGACACATCCGGTGCCGTCGGCAGCGCCACCACTCGTCGTTCACAAGTGCGGCGGCACCGTGTGGAGAGCGTCGTCTGTGCTTCGTCCAGGATTGCAGTTCTGGGTTGGGGAGGAGGAAGAATGAGAGAGGGAAAAGAGGGGAGGGAGGAGACGGCACACAAACGCTGCTGTCAGGGACACACAAACGAACACATGCGCGGTATATGGAGCAAACAGGTGAAGCAACAAAGAGGGCACACAACGTTAAATGATGTCTCAATTTGAGAACATCGCAGCTGAACTTGGAAGGTAGGTGGACACAAAGGCGACCGTTTACGCACTTTGCATGCGCGATCTCCCACGTTAGCCGTGAAAACTTATACATGCTTCACGTTTTCTATTTCTTTTCAGAAGCAAATGATAGTCTACAGTGTCTTTCTTGACATATATGCTGAATACAGCAAATAATTAGGCCAATGAAAGCGTAAAAAAACGTCAACTGTTGTCTGTAGAGGGCCCTACCTCCGGTAATTTTCACCAACTTCCGGTGTTTAACATTGCAAGTAAACACGCGCAAAGAGTTCATTACGCCGTCACGACCACTTATGTTAAACGAGGTGGCGCTATCAGCCGTGGGCGCGCCACAATATCGAAGAGCACGGTGTCGAAGAGTACTCCAGTGCTCCTCGCTGGGCCTTTCGGTTTCCCCAGCGTCGGTTGTGACGTCAGCGCCCACATCTCGTCATGTGAGTACTAGCACCAGAATGCAAATCGTCGCATGGCGAGGTGGAGAGAGTAATCGACAAACGGAGCACAGCGAACTCCGTGTAACTCCGTTATTACGGCGTCATTCGCAAAATTTCTTACGGCTACGTGATCGATTTAGACCCGTTCACAACTGTAACACAACTAAATTTCGACCTCTCTGCGGTTTAAAGGGCGTGGAATTTCCTGCGATATTTGAGGGAACACTGGCACTGCGATCGTTCAGATGGAAAGTATGGGTAGTACATGGATTCGCCTGATGCTCAAGCTATAGCGTCTTCGAACGCACTTGACTTAGTTTAGTGTTGCGATTTGGCGTTTGTTTCGGATAAAAAAGAATGGGTCGTTGTGAGCGTGAGATTATTTGAACTCATGGGCCTAAAAAAAGGTTGAGGCGGTGAAGTGGAAGTGTTAAGCATTTGCAGAACTTCCATTTGCGACATAGCAGGTACAGGCCACACAGAACCAAACGGATCCGAAATAACAAAGTTTAGACAAATCCCTGTACTACCCATGATTCCCATGCTGACCGAAGCACCGTGTGTTGCAGCTACCATAGACACTATAGTGCCAGAGTTCCCTCTAGTGTATTATTGGAAACTTTATGGTTTAAGGACCATTTGGCTGTAGTGGAGTAATTGTGGCGCAGGTTCTAAAGAATTAAAGTGAACGAAAAATTACCCTTTCGGTCATGTGGGAATATTCGACGGACCCAGAACGTTCGTATGTTATGTGTTGAAATCGCATCAACGTGATTCGAAATTATGATTTCAGTCTTTCTGAGACGACGAGGACACACTCTTCGCAGCAACATGCAAGTTACTCCGTTTCAGCTTACGGTGGAGCAAAAGTGCTGAGAATGAAGACCGCAACACTGACTGCACCCCTGACAGAGAGTTTCGTTCGAGTTGGGCATGTGGAGCAGGCGTTCACTATTCGACATCTGGCCCTGCATGGTGCGCATTGTGAATAGTAAAAGCGCCCCAATCTACATAGGAGTGGAAGACGAACAATATCTTACAGTACAGGACCACAAGCACGGGTATTGGTGCAGCGACTCGGCACCACTCATCTATTTATTCTGTTATACATTTAAGTACAATAAAGGCTGCCAAGTTTTTTGTGCGAGATAAACGGGGTAAACGTATCGTAAAATAACTTTCACAGTACAC